AACGTTCTGCAAGTCCCTCAAAACCTGGGTATGTGACCAGGCCTGGGGCTCCCAGGGGACCGGGGAGATTTTGCAATAGCTCCCTTACTACAGTTAATATAGTTAATAGAGAACTCTCCTCTTTTATGTGTTTCTTATCGTTTTTATAGTTTTAATGATTGTTTTATATGTATTTATGGGTTTTTAATTGAGCGTTGTACGCCACCCAGAATCACTCTTTTGTGAGATGGGCAGCTATATAAATATGATCGATAATAAATATGATCACTCAATACGATCAATATAGAAGAAGTCATTTTTTTCTCCTTTTTTCCCAGGTTGTCTCTCACATCTGGATTGCATTGCTTCTTCTGAATGGCTTCTTCTAGATAAACCAAACTTCTTTTCCCCACCTCTGCTGTCTCAATCTCTCGCAAAATCCAAGGGTCATCATGAAGAGCTGAGATCAGGCTTCACGTGAAGCACCACTTCCATTTTCAGGGAACATTTGGGGAAGGCTGTCCAGGACATGGCTTCCTTGCAAATGCTCCCAGGAGATGTAAGATTAGGGGCAACTCCTGTCTAAAACCCAGGAGATGTGCTGCCAGTTCGTGCCGATATGGAAGTAGGAAATTTAGCAGCTCATCCATGATTAACACACTAGAAAGAGAGCCGTTGAAAAAGGTGCTGCTGGAAAGCCGCAGGAGCAAATTTTAAAAAGTCATGCTAGTATCTCATGCAGAAATAATTGAAAATAGAAAATATATTTGCTCCTGCATCTCTCCAGGAAAAGTAATTTCAGTTAAGGTATTTTCCTGGGCAACCCGCAGAGAAATGGTAATAAAATTCTAGGTCACTGCAAACCTTCTCAGGGTTCATAGAACACAGTATAAAAAACCCAGCTGTGTTCCTCTCATGTTTGCTGGAAATCTTCCCCATCTGCTTAATTTCCCTCAAAATGAATTCTAAAAGGTTAAGTTCTTATTTTCTTATTTCCTACGGCTTTTAATGCATCCGACCCGTTCATTCTTGCATTTCGCTGCTAATTAACCGGCTTAATGAATCTGAAAGAACCCCTGTTGATCAGATTTGGGGACTGTCCCATCTTCCCTTCCAGGCTGTCCTGTGAAAACATGTCCTGTTGTTGTTTCATTCAGATATCTATGTTTTTGGCATTGGAAACCTTGAAGTGGACTGGAGTGCCATGAATGAGATTGCATCCAAGAAGACAGGGGAACGGCATGTCTTTGTGATGGAAAATCCACAGGAACTCAGGAAAGCTTTTGAAGATGTGCTGGGTGTGTAGGATCTCTCTCCTTCACCAGGGAGTGGGGGGGGGGCGGGCAAGGGGGAAAAGGGGCAAGGGGTTGATACATCTGCCCAAGGTTCAGCTTGCTTCTTGTGCCATCGGTGGGAGCTTGACACCAAACAAAGGACCCTTGTTCTGGGTTCCTGCATTTCAAAGCAGCTGCTGAAATATCCTAGGTGTGAAGCTCTCACAGAAACCCAAGGGGCTTTGCAACAATTTTTGTATTCCTTCAGTTGGCATACCTAGAGAAAATGACAAATATACACTCAGTTTGACTCACAACATTACTAAGAAAGCATCTTCAGAAGGGCCTCTCCTGGGGAGGTTTGTTTGTTGGTTAGATTATATATCGCATTTCTATAGCCACCCATCTCACACAAAGTGACTCAGGTTGGTAGCAGGAGAGCAGTCTCATAGATAACCTGCCTCTAAGCCATCTAGGGCTTCGATGGTTAAATGACATACAGGAGGCCGATGCAGATCCTTCAGGACAGCCCCACATGATCCTTGTATCTTGCACCCGTCAGCAGCCTGGCTGCTATGTTCTGCAGCTGTTGCAGTTTCAGGACACTAGAAGGGAATATCTGTAGTTCAGGGTCGAACTGTGGAGTCCTTGGTGCTCTCTGAGCTTGGCTGTTTGCTTGTAGACATTTCATTACCTGACTAGGTAGCATCATCAGTGCGAGTGAGGTGGGTAATGAAACATCTGCAAGCAAACAGAGAGCACCAAGGACTCCACAATTTCAGGACACTTTAGAGGGTAGCCCCATGTAAAATGCATGGCAGTAGTCAGGATGGGTTGTAACCAAAGTGTGGATAACTGTTCTTGGCTCAAGAAGGATCACAATTGGCATGCTGGGCCAACTGTGCAAATGAAAGGACACAAGTCTCGCCACCTTCCACTGAGCAGCATTCATCCTGTAGGCTTTTATCATCTTGGGTGTGTGTTTCAGGACAAAGGGTTCTAGGGCCTTTCAAACATTTCTCTCCATAACGTTTTTGGTCTACAAACCACGTGTTAGAAATGACAGGCTGTTAACACGTCAGTGTTCATGAAGATACATGTTTTGTAACCAGAGAGGCAAAGCAACATGGGTGGACTCTTTCCCACCATTTTGCTTCTGTGTTTTCATCTGGATTCTGCACAGAAATTTTCGGGTGGGGGGCGGGATATCATTTCACTAGAACTCTTGGCTTGCATTACCTTCTGAGGCGGTGGTCATGACATCGTTGGGCAATGAAATGGCTGGGCCATCTCTCTGGGTTAAGGTTAAGGTTAGGGTAGGGTAGAGCGATGGATTGGCCAGTGATGGAAGAATTTCTGGGGGAAGAGGCCCCCGCAAAGTAGATATTCCAGCCTGTATGTGACCAGCCCTTCCTGCATCACTTCTCCCTTATTTATTTATTTATTTATTTATTTAATTAATTAATTAATTTAATATAAGGAAGAATGAATAATTAATTAATATAAGGAAGAATGAATATATATATGAGAATGAATGAATGAATGAATGAATGAATGAATGAATGAATGAATGAATGAATGAATGAATTTGTTCAGTTGTAGGTGGTTCAATTGGTTCAATTGTTTGTTTCCCTATTTTGGAACATTTTATTTATGCAAAGCAGGTAATAAGATTCAGAATGAAATAGAAATGACAACTGCTTTTTGCAGTGCTGGAAATAAGAGAGCCAGTTTGGTGTAGTGTTGAAGGCACCAGGCTAGACATTGTGAGTCTTTGAGATCTAGTCCCGCCTTGGGCACAAAGCCAACTGGGTGCCCTCAACCGTAGGAAGAAGGCCATAGCAAGCCACTTCTGAAAATCTTGCCAAGAAAACTGCAGGGACTTGTCCAGGCAGTCGCCAGGAGCCAACACTGTCTCAAAGGCGCACACAAACACACACACACACAGAGTAAAATGTTGACATACACAGGTTGATTTTCCACATGCCGAAGCTAATCTCCGAACCTCATTTCTGGTAATGTGTCCTGCCTTGGGCACGAAAGCCAGCTGGGAGAATTTGGGCCAGTAAATCTCCCTCAGCCCAACTCACCTCACAGGGTTGTTGTTGTGGGGTAAAGAGGAGGAGGAAGGAGTATTTGGTACGTTCACCGGCTTGGGTTGTTTATAAAAATAATAAAGGCGGGATAAAAAAATCTAAAAAAAAAAAGTGAGAAATTTTGTCACTAAACCAAGTCAATGGGGGCCTTGGGACGGAAGGCACATTGTGTTGGTGTGCTGAAAAAGTGATAGGCGATGTAGAGCTTGAACATCTGTGTAGAAAGGATACAACCCAGGGTGGAAAATGTCACGACTGATGATCATCAGTTTTCCCCCAGATTTGTTAATTTTCTAACCTAATCTTAGACCCCAGAGATTTGGAGGACATATGTGGTTTGGCAAACTACTCTGACAGCGCAAGATGGGATCAGAAGAGCCCGTGGCACGTGCTTCTGCAAAACACAGTGAGTACAGGGGATTCTCCATCGCTGCCCCCCAAGCCATTGTGATCTCTTTCCTCTTCCCAGATTTCTGTAGGGGCTTACAGGAGTGTGGCCCCCCGAGGTTAACTAGCTTTATCCCAGATAATTGGTCCCGTTGGATGGGTAAGGACGGGAATCTGAAGGGCCCCCAGATCAAGGAAGGCTGACCTACAGCACAATTCTGGGATGTTAACCTTACATTGAACTAATTTTTGCTCTAGCATCGTGCGGATTCTTCTTGCCGAGGTGCCTTGGTTTCAGACACCTGGGTTCTAACAGCTGCTCACTGCTTCAACAACCTGAATGACATATCTAGTTGGACGCTGGTTCTGGGTAAGATGCTATGGGGAAAAAACCAAACATGCATTCTATCATGGTTCTTGGTTCCAGCATAGTTCTGGGGTCTTCCCTTCTTTAGTGATTCTGAGGCATTGCTTTCCTGCGTTTAGCTGGGAACAGAATTTCGAAAACATCCATTCCATGCAACTATGAAATATTGGACTCCAGCATGATTTGTATGCTGCGCCCTCAACATATCTGGGGCCTTTCCAGAGAACAAGAAAACCCTAACGAAATAACACTCTAGAATTTAACTAAGAAGAAATAACAGAAGGAAGAGCCAGAGGGTCGGAGGGAGGAAACAAAGAAAAGATGTAGTCCTGCTTCAGTGATGTTTGCTTGATGCTTGATTATAGACAGAGGCTTAGGGCCAAGCCTAACCATAGGTGGAGCAAGAAGCTGTGTGTGATGGAACAATAGTGGCCCTTGACTACAGGTAGTCTTCATCTTATGACCACAGTTGGGACTGGCACTTCCGTCGCTAAGTAGTATGGTCATTAAGTGAGATGCCCAATTTTAGAACCTTTTTGCCATGGTCGTTAAGTGAATCACACAGTCATTAAGTGAATCCAGCTTCCCCCATTGACTTTGCTTGTCAGAAGCCCCCTGAAAAGGTCACAAATGGCGATCATGTGACCCTCAGGATGCGGCAACTGTCATAAAGACACGCTGGTTGTCAAGCACCCGAATTTTGATCATGTGACTGCAGGGATGCTGTGGTGGTCATAAGTGCAAGGACTGGTGGTAAGTCACTTTTCAGTGCTGTCATAACTTTGAATGGTCATTAAATGAATGGTCGTAAGTTGAGGACTACCTGTATTTGTTTTGAATCTCCCCTGGCTTCATCTACCTTGGAAGACAGAGTTAGTAGGTAAAGCAACATGTCTTCCAAAGCTGACCTGCTACCTGCCAGTGCATTGGAGAAAGAAAAGTGCATTGGAGAAAGAAAGAGAAAGTGCACAGGGGTGAGCAGCTTTGGAGTCTGGAAGCTGCACTTAATGTTTTGGGGTGGGAAGAGGCTGCTGGCCAGACCAGGTGGGGCAGAACTACAGCACCAGTGTGGGCAGAACCAGAACAATTGGCTGTTGGGTGCGGTCTTTTCTGGCACAGTTTGGTTCTCTTTTTTCAAAACTCTATTTAGCATATTTGGGAACATATCCTAAAGTCTTCATGGGTTTTATACATGAACATGTTAGGAAATCACCCTGCTGATGTTTCCTAACTGCAGTGCTGAAATTCAGTGATGCAACTGGATTGAGGCCTCGGGGCACGAAAATCAGGGTGTTGGGCAGTCCTTGTACGATAGCTGGATCACCTGCGGTAGTCAGTGTTAACGTAAGTTCTGGTTGGGTTCTGTAAGTCAAGTGAGGTTAGGGGTTGTGGGTGCGCCCTCTTTTTTCCAGGCAGCAAAATGTCCTGGTCCCACTGAATTTCTGGAACTATCTACTGTGTGTAGACATGATCATGGGTTTGTTGTTAGTTTTACCAAGGCAGGGGTTTAAAAAATGTAGCCCGTGCATCACATTCAGCCTCCTGTCATCTATTCTATGGGCTATGGAACCTTCCCAGGGTAGATAGGATCAACTATTCCACCCCCCCCCTTTTTTTGGTGCGTTTTTTAAAGAGTCAGGAGATTCCGTTCAAGCCTTAAAGCCCATTTTACCCCTTAAAACCACCAGAATCCTGGCCCCGCCTACTTTTCTAATGCACCTCATCGCGCAAAGCCCAGTGCAGCCCTCGAACCCGCGGAAAGTGGTTGCAGGCCAAGAGAAGGAGGGAATGGACATTGCAGAGGTATTCAGTAGCTGCTTCCTTGTGGCAAAGTCCACCTGGGTGTTTACTCACCTCCCTGTCTCATTCAGCAACGCTCCCACGCTTTCAATCTGGTGTATTGTTTCCTGTTCCATTGGGCAAGGGATTAATGATGAAATCCTGTGGAACGTATTTGTTTTCTTCAGGATGTCTACAGTCCGTACTTCAGTGGCTGCCCTCCGTTTTATTCTCTTTTGTTCGGGTGGTGGAACAAGGGGGAGATCACGCAAGAGCCATTAAGGGAAAAAATGAAAGGCAACTCAGTCCTGGGGAAAGGGGAGGCATGAGAAGGTGACTCAGAAGAACTCCACCATGACTGTGTTTGATTTAAGAAATGGCAGAGGTTTTCAAGATTCAGTTATTATGTCTGACAAGGATAAAGTAGCATTCCTAGAACCTTCCAGCTTCTTAACCCAACCAATCTCAAAGGACAAGTGGTGGCCGTCTCTCTGAAATGCTCTAGCACAGAAAAAAGCAGAAAAAAGGAGGCTCGCGAAATGACCCCAAGATCCCTTCCAACAGAGCAGAACAGCCAGCAGATCTTGGATGGATTTTTTTTTTCCCCTGCAGATGCAAGGCATTTCCAGATTGAGGGCTCTCAGTCACAAAGCATTCCAGAGCTATTCTGTTTTTCCCTCGTGAACAGATTGTTGGGAAAACACTGATTTGGAAAATCAATCTGGACTCTGTGTATAATTCTGGGATGGAGGTAGCGCGAATGGAAAAGAAAAGTCGTAGCTGAAAGCATTTCGCTATCATAAGCAGTTTGTTCACGTGACATCTCAGCTAGAAAGCTCAGTTAGCAAGCATGCACAGAGTGCCATTTTAGTCCTCCCACATAGGGTTCTTCCACCTGAGATGATGTGATACTGTAGGGTACAGCCAAAGACCTGGTTCACATATTCCATTAAACCATCATTTGAATAACCATGATTTCTTAATAAAATACCATACCGTTCACCCAAGGACATGTACATGTAGAGGATGAGGTCAGGGTGGAAAATCAAGGTTGATATTTTCTCACTAATAGTCAAAGTCTGGGACCTCTGCTCTGCTTCACCAAAGGGGCGGGAGGCAAAAGATGGACACAGAGCAACTGAAGTACAACTGCATTAATTGGAATGTAGGACTTGGCCCTCAGATCAGTATAAATTGATTGCATTGCAGTGAAGAGTCCATCTTGGGGCCCCCAGCCAAAAGGTTTTTTCCATTTTGTTAAATGACATTCCTTACAAGGAATATGAGTCTTGCATCTAGGGCACGCAAAGCAAGGACCTGTAGTTCATCCATCCATCTTCCTCCTACGAAAAAGGTTGAGATATCTTGGTGACCAGCTGGGCCCCTGAGAGTTTGATGCTGGCTGTCTTCTCATCAGCTCCAGAAATGGCAGGAAAAGAGTGAGGCAGTTCTTCCTGAAAGCAATGCAGTGTTTTACAGGAGAAAAGGTATGCGGAAGATCACTTATTCTTTCTCCCCTTCGCAGGAGGACAAACCAGGTTGCAGATAAAGAGGCGGATTGACCATGAATTATACAACATTCGGGCTAAGTCAGCCCAGGGCATCCAAGAATTCTATGACTATGATATCTCCCTCGTTGAACTGGAGAAACCTGTATCGTTTGGGGGGCGAATCAGGTATCGCGTCTCTTTGCCAGGGTCCTAAAGCTCATCTGGCATGTTCTGAACCATTTGTTGATTGACACTGATTATGCTGTTTGCACATCCCAACTGAAGCCTTGTTAAAGGAATCCAGTTCTGTTTTGTCTGCCAAGGCAGGGTCTTCCACTGGAAGCTCCTTTGCATCATGCTGTTACAGGTAGTCCTCATTTAGCAACCACCATTGGGACCGGCAACTTGGTCATTAAGCAAAGCAGTCACTAAATGAAACTGCAACTGTACTTATGATCTTACTTCAGCTTTCCTTTGCTCTACAAGCCTGCAAAGGTCATCAGGGCGAGGACTGGCTGCAAAGTTATTTTTTCATCTCTTTCGTAATTGCAAACATTCATTATATGAGGCAGTCGCTAAGCGAGGGTGATGAATGATGAATGAGGCTTAATATTTTTGTGACCTCTT